GTAGAAGATAATTTGGGCGTCAAATTCGTTGGTGGTAGTAGTTTTCAGATGACGATTCCATCCAGGGTCACATATCATTATCTTTGTGAGAATCTAATTCCGAGAATACGGCGTAGAGACGAATCAGTACAAGATAGTGATGTGATCACAAGTTTCATTTACCGTCTTCCAGAATGGCAGAATGGTGTTTTATTTCATTATGCAATGCCTATTGTGGATGATGATAGCTTGAATGTGCTTTGGAATTTTATGGCACAAAATCCTTATTGTTTGGGTGCTGAGATACATGTTGAGCTCAGTGAGGATCAGGGTGGAGAGGTAGAAGATGATACATGGAGCGTGCCATCCGATCATGCCTATGATGACGGTGATGACGGAGAGGAGGAAGATGAGGAGGAGGAGGAGGAGGAAGAGGGGGAAGAAGTTCCTAATTATCCTCCATATTTTTACTTGCAGGGTAATGAAGAGGACGAAGAATACTCACTTGTTGATTCATATGGCGTAATTCCAATGAATATTGTTGATAGTTTTGAAGGAGAATTCTACAAGGGGCAGATATTTCACTCGAAACAAGCTGCACAGATGGCGATTAAACACCACGCACTACAACGCAACTTTCAATATGGCGTGGTGGAGTCGTCACTTTCAATATGGCTGCTCTAGTATCACCACCTGAAGCCATGTTTCCGCCTCCCATCGTAGTATGCTGCGGTGTATGGAAGCTATCCTCTGCCTGATAGAAGCTCGAAGATGCCTCTGTCTGAAACTGCTGTCGTCGCGGTGGCTGAAAGCTCGAAGACGGATCTGACTGAAACTGCTGGCGTCGCGGCGGCTGAAAGCTCGAAGACGGATCTGACTGAAACTGCGACCGAAGCGGATTAAACTGGAAGCTCCTCGTAGTAGGCCGGATGGGCTGTGCTCGCTGTCGATCTGTAACCCGAAATGGGTTAGGTACATCACGATGCTCACGTCGCTGTCTACGTGGCCTACGCTCCTGTCTGAACTGTGGCTCTGGGGCGACCCAGTCCGGTGTCGGATCAGTACGCTCTGGCCAGGCAGTCATGACAGGCTCCGCATAATGGGGCTGTACAGGTACTGTGAGATCAGGGTATCTACGCTGCTCAAACCCTAGAGTAGCAACCCCGGATGCCATAAAGTTGGCCAAGTCCTCACACTGGTCAGGGGTCAGTCCTCCAGCCCTCCTACCGTCACGCAAACTCACCTCAGCATGCTCGATAGTGTCGTACTAAAAAACACCAACAAAATGTCAGATATTTCACACAGTTAACAACAAATTAAGCAAACAAATCAAATAACTAACCAGTGCCTCCGCTACAGCTCCTCTCCGTGTGCCGGAACGTCTGGTGATATCTCTATACCACTCCATATGCTCCGAGTGGTAGGCTAACTCATCATCAGTGTATGAAGATGTCGCTACAAACTCGTGTCGACGGTTCCAGAAATCAAGCGACTCTCTGGAGGCGTGTACCAACTGCTGGCCACGCGATGGCCCACGAGTAGCCTGGCGAAGGAAAAACCTAACCTCAGCCTCAGGATGTGGCTGATGAGGCTCATGCTGCCTCATGCCAAACTGCCGGAGCACGCGGTCTGGATGATGCCACATCACCGATGAAAAGCAGATAAGTGGCACTACTGCTCGAAATGTATCAGACTGTATCACACTACCTCTGAGATGAAGTGCTCTCTCACGGTAAGGTTGCCACTACATAGCAAAAATTTAACGTTATTATCCCTAAATCTAAAAAAATAAAACAAATGAAAACTATTCTATAAAATGGAATGTTATATACTAACCACCACGGTGTCCATCGCGTCAAACCACAGCTTGTAATGGAATAGCTGGTCACCATACTGACGACTGCTGGCCGAAAGCCATCGAAGACCACGTGGATGTGCATCCTCGGTGGCCGGTGCCCTCGTCTCTGAATCTCGAGGTGCCAGATGTGGGAATCGCTCCCACGCCCAGAACTGCAGTAGGGCGACCCATCCACCAAGGTCACCGGCTAGAGAAGTGCCGGTATGCGAAATGTGCAAAGTCGACCTACCCATCTCACGGTACAGGTAGGATAAAACAGCAGCTCCCCAGGCGAACCCTCCAGCCCTCTCCCAATCCTCAATCAGAAGTAGGTACTGTAGGTGCACCGTAGATCCAGACCGATCCGGGAAAAGTACACCTCCAATCAGAGATAGAGCATAAGCTCGTGCAAACTGCTCTATAACCTCCTGTGATGCATCATCCGGCAGATGGCTGAATTCAACCCTCAGCCATGTAATCCTAACAACAGCGACCCCGCCTACAAGATCATAAGGAACCCGTCCTAACAGTCGCAAACAGATCGCCGACCACTCCTCATCCGGTATATCAACTACGACGGCATCACCGTCGATCGCCAAACCGGACAGTGTAACAACGTCCTCTAACGTGATCGTGACCTCACCACACGGTAGATGGAAGGTCGACGTCTCGGGTCGCCACCGCTCTACGAGTGCAGTAATCAAACTCGCATCGGGGTTCATAGGGACTAGGGGCACGACACTTAACAAGCCTGCCGCTTCGAGATATGGCCGATAAAGCTCATGGTAAGGTACTAAAATGGTCGTACCTCGAACATGGAAAGATCGATCACCAGCCTATATAGTGCACAAAACTTATATTAATTTATCTTCATTCGTAATAATTCTAATTTCACCTAACTAATTCTAATCTATCTAATCTAATATCAAATTATACTAATTTCAAAAAATCTAATACGTAATCCTATTCTCTAACAGTACAGTTCAGTTCACCAACTAAAATAATCTAATTAGCTAATTAACTTTACATGAACAATTATTAAATACTTACCTCGTTTGTCCAAACAGAGTCAATACGATGTTGGCCATGTCCCCAAAGAAGTGTCGCATCGACCGGACTTGGATCAATTGTCGCCGGCGGTAATCTCATCGAATAAGGATCCATAAGCCTAGGAACTGCAAAAACAAACAACAAAACATCAATAAAAAAACACAAACCATTAAAAAAAAATTCAAGCCGCCGACGAGAGTCTCACCGCGCAAACGGCTGCCACGACCTCGCCGGCCTCTCCCCCTGCCTCTGCCGGCGGCTTCTTCGTCGGAAGACATCAGCGGCGGCGCTACAGACTGCAGCGGCGGCTCCCCTCTCTGCGGCGGCGGCGCTCAATCCCCCAGCGGCGGCGCTCCCAGCAGCGGCGCTGGCGCTCAACTCTCCAGCGGCGGCGCTCTCTTCGACGGCGGCGGCGCTCCTTTTACAGGTGGCGGCGCTTCACTTCCAGGCGGCGGCGCTCCACTCGCAGGCGCCGGCACCTCAGTTGCGGCGGGCTGTTCGGGCAGAAAAGAAAGAAGACGAAGGAGGAGGGTTTTGGGGGGGGGGGGTTGTGTGGTGGTCTCGGGAAGAAGGGGGAGGAGTGTGTGGCTGGGAAAAGAGATAAGGGTGGAGGGAGGGGGGGCCGAGCCCGAGGGAAATTTTAAAAAAAAATAGTTTGGGGCGGCGGCGCTAGGGACTTGGGCGCCAGCGCCCGGAACTCCAGCTTCTGCGGCGGCGCCTGAGTCTACGGTGTGGCCGCTGAAGCCTTTTCCAAAAACACAATATCTATGTAATTTGTTTTTAATCCGCCATATTGATGGTAAATTAAAAAAAAAAAACAATATTTATGTCATTAACCCTGAATAATTGAAGTATTTAAGGTTTCTGGGTGAAGTAGCTACGTAAGCCGTACAGCTACGTAATGCAGCTTTGCTCCAGTTTAGCTCTCGTGTGCTCTGTTCTTTCACAAAGTCAGCTCTTCAGTATTAGAGATGAACCAAATCGCATATATATATATATAGATGTAGGTAGAGTTCGCAAATGATTTGGATCTATGAATTGTTCAATTGAATTGATGGATTTATCAGATTATATGGATTGGATTGTTGGATCCATAGATCATATGGATTAGTGAGTTCATGTATTGGATCAAATGAATTGGTGGATTGGACCATAGATCCATCCAAGTGACATATAAATATTGGACTAATTTGTAAAATTTTAAAAAATAGGTACTAAAATGTAATTTCCAATGATAATTTATGTATAAAAAATAAATTTCAGGTACCGAATTGTAAAATATGTATGTACTAAAATTTAATCTGCCAGCAATCCATGAATCTACAATCCAATTAGATTTGAATCAAATAGATTGGATTAGTTGGATATCTAAGTGGATGGATTGGATTGGTGGATTGAATTGAAAATTGTCACCTCTACATGTAACTTGATGAGCAAAGAAACTTGTATTCGGCCCAGCCTGTGGCATAATTAACAGTGACCCAATCAACCCGCAACCTGATTGTTCCGTACCATACCTCAATTGTCTAGTAATGCAACGAACACTTCACGGAATAAGAAAACACGAACCCGCCACTTCGAACACTCAAGGAATTGCGACAATTGAGAGTATCAAGAGACTCGTGGGACCAAACAGTGCATTCGGCCTCGCTTTGATTCGGTTTGGTCCAGCCCATATATCAATTCGGTCCATTTATTTTCCGTATTTATAAAATTTATAAAATCAAGTATCGGACCATATTATATTTAATTCGGAATGGTACGATCCATACGTCAATTTGGTCCGGTACAGACCAACTCATTGCACACCCCGCTCATTTGCTTGCAGCTACAAGTCTACAACACCACTGTGGTTCCCGCGGGCCATGTAAATCGAATGGGCTACTAACTCTCTCAATTTCGTTGGGTTTTGGGCCCAAGGTCACTAATTTGATCATTTGTGAGATGGCCGAAAGAAAACAGCCCAACATTTTGCTTCGAAAATGAGAAGAAGAAGAAGAAGAAGAAAAAAAAGGAGAAGAAGGTTCGAGGCTCGACCGTCCAAGAAAATAAACAATTTATTCATTTATTTTTCGGTCTCCTATTTTTTGTAAATAAAATACAACTTAACGATCATCAGTCATCACTTTCACCAGCCACGCCGCGTATAATAAAAACCTCAGTGATCCTCCTTCCAGAAGAAAGCCTGCTTACTTTCCCCTTTACTCCCAACAACTGCCCTCCAGTTCCCAACTCCTCTCTCAAGAAATCAATTCCGCCATTTTTCTTCTTTTCGATTTGCTCTCTGTCTCCTCCTTCCCAACCCATCCGGCTAATCGATTCAATCAACCTTCAAAATACCGGCAACAGTCGGTCGCTTCCTGCTGCAAAAGAATGGAGAACATGATGGGGCTTCTCAGAATCAAGGTGCTCCGAGGGATCAACCTCGCCATTAGAGATGTCCGCAGCAGCGACCCTTACGTCATCGTCAAGATGGGCAAGCAGGTAACTTTCCCCTCAACTTCCCCCCGTGCCCTCAATTTTCCCTCTCTGCAATTGAATTTGGCGTTGTGGGTTGTCGAAAAGGTTGTAACTTTGATCGGCGACAGGCTTCGAAACCCAGCTGCCATGTCTTAGCCGGAAACCTGTAGACGACGAAAGCTTGTGTCTTTGTTGTTTCGCTTTTTCTCATTGCAACGGCATAGTGGCAAATGAGCCGGCCGTTGGCGGATACCCCAATTTAGGGTATAGATTGATTGTGCTATGTGCTTCCTAAACGGTATCGACCGGATCAAGTTTTATAAACTAAATTGCCCATTTCCCACACTAGAATTGGTAAAATGCTTCTATCGTACAAGTTAAAACTCTGTGCCTGCTCTGCTCTGCTGCCCTTGATGTTACTGATTGGAATTGCAGAAACTGAAGACCCGAGTGGTGAGGAAGAATGTGAACCCAGAGTGGAACGAGACCTTGACATTGTCTGTCAGCGACCCGGGTCTTCCTGTCAAGATCGTGAGTGATACTATGCTCAATTCATTCGGTCGGTTCGTTAATGGTAAGTAGAACTGACGATGGACTAAGCTGTTGGCAGGAAGTGTTCGATCGAGACCTGTTCAGGGACGACAGGATGGGGGATGCAGAGTTCGACATTGGGACCTTCGTGGAAGCCGTGAGGATGAACCTCCAAGGGCTGCCCAGCGGGACCATCATCACCAAGATGCAGCCAAGCAGGAAGAACTGCCTGTCAGAGGAGAGCTCGGTCGTGTGGGCGAACGACGAGGTTGTGCAGCGCGTCTTCCTGAGGCTGCGAAATGTGGAGTGCGGTGAGGTCGAACTCGAGCTTCGTTGGATTCATGTCCCTGGTGCCAAGGGCTTGTAGTATAGAGGAATTGACTGTAAGTGAGCTGTTGTTTGTAGCTGATATATGATGTATTGCTGGTTTTTTTTCGGGGTTTTGCTTCTCACCATTAGTTCTAGCACCCTAATTATCAGTATCTACACCTTAATTGATTCTTCTTCTGCTGCTAATTACAGTTGTTTGAGTGTGTACATTATTCTGTCTGAGTTGTCTTTCACCTGACAGAGGACTCTTTTCTTTAGCATATATATGTTGCCATGAATAAGTGTCTCGTAATCTTCTCCATCCTACTACCAAAAATGTTACTTAACCATAGGAATTGCCGAATTAGCCTATTGACATTGGACTCGTTCTAATACCAGTATTCTAATACCGGTTTGATGCAGATTTCATTTGAGTTCCTTGCCGCAATGGTAGATTTAAAGTGAAAAATGACAACGACCACAACCAGTTGGGCTTGGGCCGAATCTCATACGTAAAGTTATAAGGGGCTTGATTATTGAGCCCATTAATTTGGGGTCGGGATCATCCACCGGATCAGTGGGTTTTCATTTTGCTGACTGAGGTTATGGGAAGCGGATGAATGAAGTAAAATTCTCCGTTACGAAGGCAGAGTTTGGACAAATGGGCTTCTCCCCGAGTTGGGGATAGGGATGGAAGTTTGGTACTAGTATTTGAGATATACCGAATATCGTATTGAATTTGTCGATATTTGGTATTATTGAATGCACGTATTATTTTATGGAATTGAGATTGAGTTCAATTGTTATTTGGTATTAGAGATTACATGATTGAGATCAATATATATACGGAAATACTGATCAATATAGAAATCTAAGATAGTGTGTACTCAATTCCTCCCAACTATACTCCCCCAGTCACTAATATCATACCCTCAATCTCCAAAATGGTCAATTAGTTATATATAGTTCATCCTCTCGCTATTTGATAACTCATACATAGCTCATTTTGTTACTTGTAATATGTTTTTAGGTTGTTTAATCGTCCACGGTATTAATTTATTGATTTAGCTTGTTAATGTGCTTCTTAGAGCACCACATTTTCTAGTTTGTGGTTAATATACTTGTAGTTTTCCCCATTTATTTTGCAAGAGTGTTGGATTTATTGTTTGTTTTTATTTATTTTGAAAATGGTTTGTGGAGGTGCTCACAGAGGAGAAGTATTTGCATTTGAATATTTGATTTGTAATTTTTGAACATAACTAATTTAAAATTTAGTTTATACCGATACCGAACAAATTTTCTGGGATTTGGATCGGGATATCGAATTTATTTTGGGATTGAGATTGTGATTAAGTTTGGGACACTATTTGGTAATTATACTGGGATACCGATACTGTACTGATTTCCTACACTAGTTGGCGAGACGCTCAAGAGACTTAGCCACTTTGGGAGTTGGACACTAGCCAATGAAAAACAAAAGGGATGAAGCATTAGCAAATATTATCCCCAATCTTGCAAATTACTAGTTTTTTTTCCACCAACTTTCAATCTTTATCCTCCATTTTTCATATACACAATACTTGCTCTTCTATATTTTGTCTTCATAAATCTAAATACTTTTCAATTATTTCAAAACAATACTTTCAATTATTTTTCTTTGATACTTTTCAATTAATTTTACTAAAATATTCGTGACTATTTTCGAAACGGGTTTCAAATATAGATTATGTCTGGTTGTAAAATGATATACGTTTGAACCATCATTTATATGTGTCTAATATCCATATAATAGGATACATGTTAGTTGATAAATGAATTTTGTTTTCATGGTTGGCGTTATTTGGATATAAAACAAGAAAATAAAACATATTATATGTAAAAATTGTAAAATCATACAAATTGTTTTCATGGTTGGCGTTATTTTTCACATACTACGTACCATCTATATTTCCAAATTTTAGAGGTGTACTACCTGAGCTTTGGGTCCGCCAATGCTGCTAGGGTTTCTTGCTTTTCTGCTACTGGTCCCTAATATATCTTTGGTATCTGTTCACTATCAGTTGCTTTTTCTGCATGAGGACAGATTACCGTCCTATTGTCTTCTTTCCTTTTCTCTGTTAATCAATTAATGTACGAGAGAGTCTTCAGTTTGGATGCTGCTGCCTGGGGCTTTTGCAGCTTCAATCGTTCGTGCCCCTAGTACTTGTAGTAATGGAAGTTACTCAATTCCCGATTCCACTTTCCAAAGAGAAATTGCGGTTCTTGGTTCTGGCACGTAATATACATTCCAACCACTTCTTTGAGTGGAGAAGGGTTAGTTTCTCTTTTTCTACTGAACTCTCTTTGATGGAATTTTGCACTTAGCTTGATGTTGCAAACTTCTTATATGTGTTATCCATGTCTTCTTACACTGGTCCTTATCAATTTGATATCCACTACCTGTGGAGTATTCCATTGAAAGAAGATATTAGTCTTTTATAAAACCGTATGGGCGGTTCGACCGAGAAAATCTCTTACGTACTGGAGGCTAAATTGATAGGTGTTTTTAACTATATAAAACGATAGACATATAACGTATTGCATTATGTGCAATGGAAAAGAAGTGAATCTTTTCTCAAAATGCTGAAGTTAATAAAAAAAATTCCATAACGCCACACCTATCATAAAAAATTCCATAAATTTGGGCTAGATCGTTACAATTTTTAGCGATTTAGGAAGCGGATCTCTGATGAAAGCAACAATCAAGGCATAATGCAACGATCTCAAGGAAACAATCTTCATTTGATCTTAATTAAGCACAATGTATAAAGAAAGGAACCGCGACACTGATCAGTCATTTAGGTTACTTTCGGCCGCATGGTGCTTACGTATATTAAATTGTTGTTCTGTAAATTGATTTGTGTGGAATCTCTTTTCCCTTGATATGTTTGATGATAGGATTCAGGCAGCAAAATTTTCTGTGTAAATCGTTGGATGCTTCCAATGATTGACAACAAGATTTGCACATAATAAATAACCTCCTTCATCTCACATTCTACATTCACTTCTTTTTTCATATATCTTTTAGTTTCTGCACATCAGAATTCAGCAAAACAAAAAGCAAACAGAGCAGTGCGAATGACCCACGCCATGCCACGATCAACCACCACTGTGCCATACAACGCAGGCGACAATTGCTTTCCTATTTAGGGTACAACAAAAGACCCAAAAAATGAAAAGCCTTGATTGCATGATTTTTTTTTATAATTTTTTTGTCAAATTTCAAAATCTAAATGACCATCAATATTAATTGTTAATTTAAGTATAAAGTATGGTGGGCATGGACAAATTTTAATGTGTGAGTTGTCTTTCGTTTAAGATGGTATGTAAGCATGATATAAAGATCTAAAAAAACCTTATTCTAGCCATTTGAGTTATTGAAATTAAATAATTTATGATCTTATATAAGAGTTGGGTTGGCAAAGTGGTTGTGTGTTTCAATTTTGATGATCCTAATAATAACAGTTGATTTAAACAAAATATATGGTGAGTCCTTGGAAACTTCAAACATTTGAATTTGCTTTAATTTAAGAAAGAGCGTTGTGTTGATTGTAAATAAGTTCATATCGTTTTTCGACCAACACTTATAATTCTGGTCCGGTTAAGTACCAATCAGGCGCATGTAAGAGACATAACGTTTGCGTCATTTATAAACATCCGATGTCATAATTAATTACACATAAACGTTAGGGTTGTAGTGTGCATTGAGGGTAAATTAGTTAGCATATTATCCATTGATCCTAACTATTATATATGGTCATTTATTTCATGTTTTTGTAGCCATCATACGACACAATGAGAATATAGTATATTCGCAGGATAGTTTATGTGTATCAAAAGTAAAAATTAAATAATAAAAAATTAAATACAAATTTTTAATTTTAACAAAATATGAGTCAAACCTTTCGAAATACATTATAATAACCAACGTTTAAGTTTTTCTTTAAAATTCATCACGTCCATTAGTTAAGGTCTTGAGGATGAGCCGGCAAATGAATTTTGGGTTTTCAGTTAAACTCCTTCTCCAGACTAAATATTAATCAAATCTTTCGCAATTGAATCCTATAACTTCCTAGAATTTTGTGTTTTCAGTTAAACTCCTTCTCCAGACAAAAACCATAGAAGTATCTTTGTTTCCTGTGCCGTTGTTATTCTTGTCATAAAGTTAAGATCGAACTAAACGTCATAAGTAACGAATAACTGCGATGCTGGGAGCGCGACGCTCGTGTTTGAAGGGAAACGGGGTTGAACGTTGACAAACCGACGTTTGAACTAGATAACACAACAAATTTGACCGGTTTGAACCAACCAACGACAAAGCTATGACAAGATTAAACCAGAACAAACAACCACAAAAAAAATAAAAAGCTGACCATAAAATTAGTTAATAAAGTATATCTACGAAAACAGCAAAATCAAAAGAGAATCTATCCTTGATTCAACAGTATAATTTATAGCTGAAAAGTAAAACTGCCACCCCATTCAAATTTTCCTGTCCATAGAGTGATTTTAGGAAGCTGATGTGGCAGGGTGTTGAGCGGGAAAAAAATAGAAATCCCCGCCAGATTGCAGAACTAAAAATCGTCCACTACCCACCTTTTTCTCCTGGTTTCCCACGTTATCATTTAGTTATCATTTATTTTTCATTTACTTTTCGTTTGGCTGAAATACCACCTTTTCTACTGGGTTCCCACGTTATCCTTTCGCCTACCCGCAGGACAGGAAGAGAATCAGTTTCCATCGGAAAACTCTGGTAAGAGGGCGTCACGGTTTCGTGTTCAGCGGAGGAAGGCGCTGACGGCCGGCTGTTGCTGAGTTCATGGGAAGACGACCAGACGTTTTGGTCGTCAGTGGCGGAAAGCAGTGACGGCCCGCTTCTGCTGCGACTGAGGAGATCGCGTTTGGGAGTGCAGCGAACAATCTCCGTGGTGAAGAGGTTGTCGACGATCGAGGCTTTCCCTTCCGGCGAGAAGCACAACTACTGCCGCCGCCACCACCGTCTCCCCCGCCGCCACGAACCCTGCTTCTTCTTTCTTCTCTGCTTCAGCCTCTAGAAGGTCGCTACAAATCGCTCCAGCTACTCGCATCCGTTGAGGAGCCATCGCCGCTGGGCTCGACGCAGCTGCTGCGGCCACCGCCGCCATCAGCGAAGCGCTCATCATCCCCTTCTTCTCCCACCCGCTGCCGTTGCTTCCGTTTCCTTCCGCCGAGCACTTCACCACTCTCCCTCTCTTCGCCATCGACGGCAGCCCTGCATATCACCCAATCGATTCAATTTCTTGGTTCCCCCAAGCTGAATTGATAAAAGCCAGAGGTAATTGTGAATTTCAGGGGAGGGGGGCGTCAAGAGTACTCACCGAGAACTGGGGCGGAGGAAACCCCTAGAGAGGGGTTGCGACGGAGAGATGCATGGATGAAGGAAGAAGCTGTGGTTGTGGCGGAGATGGACGCCATTTTTCACACTCTGACCCTGGGAAGGAAGGAAGGAAGGGATTAGGACGGTAGCTGGTTCTGTGAGAAACTACTGGAAGTAGTGAGCTTTGCAGAGGTGATATAATTTGCACAGCTTAATACTGACCATAGAATTTGCCCCCATCACAAAGTTCCATGCTAAGTTACTCTCCTTATTGGATCTTTTATTTGTGTATAATTCTTGGTTTCGTGATATGGTATTGGAGATATGAGCAGGTGAGGTTTGGAACGGACCAGAGCATTAGCAGCAGTTGGTTGTGAGATGGTATGTGTAAAATGGAATCATGGTAATTACTTGGCTCTACTCATATAGGTAGGCTATATTTGAACCTCAAGGGAAGAATTCTCTTGCCACTTTTTAAGCCTTTTGTTTAGGTTTCCAACGTCAATGTGTGTGCCTGCTTTATGTCAACATAATCAAGCTTAATTGAAAGCAATACTTCCCACTTTGTTCACTCAATTTTTCTGTGTTTCACGGCTTTCTTATCTAACTTTTTTGTTTCTAAATTGCCTCTATTTTGGATATAACTTGCAGTTTAGGCTATGTAATCGACAACTAATGATTTAATCCATGACCTTCGGAAGAACGGTTTGAGTTTACATTTTCCTTATGTCATTAGTTCTTATAAGTAATTTGTTGAGTTCTTATGCTAATGTACGGTCTCTTTTTTCTTTTTTTCCTTTAGTAGTTTGGTCCAAGAAATCATGTGATCATTATTTTTTCTTTAAGATCACTAGGTTCATCGATTTAGTTTGCCAATCAAGCATTTAACCTTCGTTTAGTTCCTAATTGAGAGCGTAAGATCATTTGTATAATAATAGTACATGCCTCCGATACTGTGTTAAGATGGAACTGAAATGAGTTGGATGTAATGTCTTTGTTTGGTCCACTTTTATTCAGTGTTCAAGAAGACGCGATTAATCTCTCACCTAGGCGTGATTAATAGCTGGACAGGAGGAAATCGCCCAGTCTAGCTCTGCGCGATTGATCTAGGCACCTGGGCACTCGGAGACGCGTTTTCACTTTGGTGGGCGACGCCCAAAACAACTAATAAAGGGGAAATTGTAGCCTTTTTGTGAAAATCCCAAACCCTATTCTATTTCCCCTTTCCACCCGCTCTGTAGCCTCCCCGAGAACCTGCCCAATCCTCCTGGAAGATTGATCAATCTGCACTCGCATTTGCCGGATTTGGTAAGCTAACTAGGTTGCCGGCGCCAATAGTCTCTCGAAGGCCCAGAGGTTTCTATTTTTCCATAGTTGCCAACAGAAAGTAGCGAAAAGGGATGCGTCTATCGGTCTATGGTATTAATAGTCGTCTTTATCACTATGCTTTTCATTTTATTTGTTGCTTCTAATTATAATGATCAACAGATAAGTCAATAAAATATGTGATCGCGTTGACCTATGAATCAATTTGGAATTGTGCAAGTTGTTGAAAATAAACACTATTTCAAAAGACATTGTTTTATGCAGGTATAACAGCTCCATTCTCTACTAGCAAAAGCAAAGTCGATCATTTGCCTGGAGGGAGGGAAACATCTTTGGGAATCTTCTTGAAATTCCCCGACTTTTATTGTTGATCATCTGACCTTCCAAAAATAGCGATGAGCTAAAAGCCGAGCACAAAGCTAAGAACAAATTTATGGGCACACAAATTTTTGACAAAAAAGTTTTTATTTGTTGGTGGTACATATTTGTTATAAATTTTTAGAATATTTCAAATGACATAGTAGACAAATCTATAAGTGTTGACTTTTAGATATCAAAGGCAACACCAAAATCAATTATAAAAAATCCATATTGATTTCCTAAAATCATGAATCTTTTTCAGAAACTTAATTTTCACAACAAATGATTGTATGTTTGAATTATTTAGACGATCCCAAATTATTTGAAAATATGAAAAAATAAATTAATATAAAAATATAATAAATAAAACTAAATTCATCCGACCAACAGGTCGGATAAAAAGCTAGTATTAACATACCGCCAGATTGGGCCTCGCTTTGGGCCCGGTACTTGGTACTTTTTTCCATTATTTCTTATATATATAATTTTGATGAGTGCTTATGATTGGAAAGTAAAGGAGGACCAGACCAACCTTCATTTATTTGATTTTGGCAAATATTGGACCAACTAACATATAAAACCAACCAACAGGCGACATAAATACGAGCCCCAAACACCCCGGCTAAGACTCACTTCCTTCCTTCCTAACTCGTATCAAAGAGACAGACATGAAAGAGACTCTTAAAAGGGTTTCTCTTCATTAATTCCTGACATCCATTAAAACAAGAAAAAACAATAGCATGTTCCTTGATTCATTTGTGAACTATATACTATAGATAATGTTCCAAGAACTTAAACTGGTCGAAATAAGTTTTTTTTTCTTCTTCTTTTCTTTCTTTGTTTCGAATTTTGGAATAGGAACATTCATTTCATTGGACTATCGTGGCTACATAAATCACTTGTCATGACAAATATCGTATGTATAAGTAGGCCGAGTCGATCGTTGGCAAGGGTACGTGTATATATAACGTATTGGACCTGGGTTCGCCATGACGACTGAGTCAATTCCAGTAAAAGCGCTAGATTGCAGAGACATGAATTTCCTGTGGTGGTGGAGATAGACAGCCGGCCCAGGTCCCCCAGCTGCCTTGTTTTCCCAATTATTGCATCTGTCGACGTTGCCAAAACGATTCGGCTGACGTGTCCCCGTATCAATCCCATATTTTGAATCTATCGATCGATCGATATTGGGCATGTGTTGTTTGTGTACAGTAGTGTGTATAGTCAAGTCTATATAATGAAGCTGCGGGCGGCCGTTTGCTCATCATAATAAGATCGGTCGATCGAAAACACACCTTCTTATAGCTTATATATCTAAGAAAGACTGGCTAGGGTTGGCCGGCCGGTGGAAGATGGTGAGCGTGGACGCCGGAGGATTAAGGAAGGGAGCATGGACTGAAGAAGAGGATAGGCTGTTGCGTCGATGCATGGAGGTTTACGGGGAAGGCAGATGGCATCAGGTTCCCATTCGTGCAGGTATATCTATATTATTTCGTACCTCCATCTATGGCGTTGGGGTTAAGTTCGATCTGTAAGCATGCAGAAAAATATGAAGTACTCAATTTCTCAAGATGCATGCTCAAAGCCGTATATGTACACGTACGATCTACGCCCTGGGCTACAAGGTGTACAGCACCAAAAAAAAAAAAAAAAGTCTTTCTTCTTAATGAATTAGGGTTTGTGTTAAATAAGGGTATATTGGTATTCTTGCAGGATTGAATAGATGTAGGAAAAGTTGTAGGCTGAGGTGGCTGAACTATCTGAAGCCAAGCATCAAGAGAGGAGAGTTCTCTGATGATGAGGTTGATCTCATTATCAGGCTGCACAAGCTGTTGGGTAACAGGTGAATTCCTTTTAGTTGTTATTCTAGGGGTACTTAATCTGCCTGCAATTCAGAGTACGGTAGGGGAAAGTTAATCTGCTAACTTGAAGATTCGTTGGCAGATACTAACCGATATCCAAAATACATGAACTAATATCCAAGTACTAAAGTATTTAGAGAGCACAAACTAGTATTCTAAGTTTGCTAACTGATATCCACCATGAATCAGCTATTATCCCAAATTCGCAAACTAATTAATATCTAGACAACACAAAATAGTATTCAAACAACACATAATTAGTATCCAAATAACACATAAGAGTATCTAGATTACCCATAAGAGTATCCATATTGAATACTATTTGGTTGATTGTGGATATTAGTTGGTATCTGCTCTCTGGATACTAGTTTGTGATGTTTTAAACACTAGTCTGTGCTATCTAGATACTTAGCAGACTTGGATATTAGTTTATACATTTTAGATATTAGTTAGTATATACTAACGAATTTTCAAGTTAGCAAAATAACTAGGCTGAGATATGTACTATTGGATTGTTTGAAAAAGTATTTTGATGAGTTGTTTTGGTATATGAATAACACATTGTGAATTAGTTTGCATAAAATAATCTGTTTGGTAGAAGAAGAAAAAAAAACGGAGATGTGGCATTTTGAGAAAAGTTATTAATTCACTTGACTCACTTTTTACTTATCACAATTGACACCAACGAGCTATTTGAAATAACTCATAAATACAACATTCTCAAATAATACATTATTTTGTTTTAAATACAACATGTGGTAAAATGATGCATCCAAACGATTCTTATAAAACATATTAACTTCAAAATTAAAATATAGAAATATTTAAATGAGTCTTTTTGCACTAACTAATTAAATTCACTACACAATATTATAAACAAGGATTTGATCTAGTAGTAATATTACTATTTTTGAACTTAATGATCTCATATTCAAATTCATTAAGTAATAGTTATGAAAAATCAAATCTATATTATCACCCTTATCTATATAAAAAAAATCACTGCACAATATTTTTAGAAGAAAAGGACTGAGGTTTCTTCCGATTGTGTGAGAGCTAAATTACACATTTAATTTTTGCAGTTCTTGCAAACGGGTTATTTTTCACACAATTAGACCAATTGATCAAGTAATTTCACTTATATTAAAGCAGATAACCTAATTTTATCCTGTAATTCCATAACTCCCATCAACCAATATTTCCCTATCATTTCACCAATCCTACCAACTATTCACGTAATACCATCAACCACACTCCTTAGCTCATGATGGGTAAAATTTAGTTTATATATCAATTATCTAATCACAATCATATGGACGTATCACTTTTATCATTTTGTAGTAAAAAAAAATTAATTAAACGAAGAAGAATATAAAATAAATTGGGTAAAAACAGGCGATCTGCCTGAATTATAAATGAGTTGTATAATTTTCGTTGTCGCGCGGTGTGACAAAAATTCTAAACCAATTCAACGAAAAATCCATTTCTCAACCATTAACATTTTGATGCGAATATATCAACATAAAATTCATCAAGTCAAGTCTCAACCCATGCTAGCTTAAGCGATAGCCATTGGTGTTATTTATATACATTGGTCTCTAAACTAATTAGGATTGTCGTAAATGCATATAATAAGCGAGGTCACACGCTTCCTAATTTTCTCATGAAAAGCAAAATTACAGCGACCGTAGCTAGCCAGATACACTGTCATTTTGTTCATTATTAGTATTTGTTTCATTGCTTCATGTTTTTGCGAACGTGGCCCCAATCACGACCGTTGCCTCGTCAGTGAGAAGGAAAAAATGGAAATCTAATTAAGGTTCGCCCAATGGTAACCATCAAACACACACGAGTTGATGTCACAGACACGAAATCATTAGAAGTAATTACAAACAGCCAACTTATCATCATAAAACTGCCTCGGGATCGGATAAAGTGTGTCACGTGCCGGACAACAATTGGATGCACATATTTCGCGGTCGTTTTCCGACGGAACAGCGGCCGGCCGGCCCCCCCTTGAAGTTCGGAGCTGTTAACGTCCCGCAGACAGACAAACTCTACAAGTGTTTGTGTTTTTCTTCTTCTTCTTTCATATTGAAGATGAATAAGTTGACAGAAGCCAAAAGGGTTTCCATCAAAGCAAATCAACATTTTGTTCAAACGAAACGAGAAGGTTCGTAGATTTTGTCCTTGTAAGCGGCAAAGTCAAGACCCCGACACTTCTCGGTGACTTGCACGGACCGATCTTTTCAGTCTGGACAGAATCTGGCCCAATATCTTTCACCGGGGAAATAAAAATATATTATGAATTTCCTATATATAATAATAATAATAATAATAATAATAATAATAATAATATCCCGAACCTTTTCCAACAATATATTGTCGGTTATGGGTCCAGACCCTCAAAGAATTTGTTTTAGGGTGCATATGAAGGTAACTTTTGATAAGGTCACCCATCATTGCAATGTTTCACAGTGAACACGTTTAATTTCACAGTTCTTACAAGTTACAAGAACTCTTCATTGCAGCAAAAACGCGTTTTATCGGTTAAACCCAGTGTTTTAATTATGAATCAGAAATCTAGCCTGTATTTTGTTGATATGGAATTCTCCTAGGGGTCGTTTGCTTGAGTCATTTGTATGAGTCATTCGATGTTATTAAATGACTCATTTGCTAAAGAAAAAACGCATAAGTCATTTCGTTCATATGAAAGTCCCAAATGACTCTATCAAGTCATTTCCAAATACCTTCTATCCATGAGGCATGAGTCATTGCCAAATGAATCATTATTTAGTCCAAATGTTCCAACTATGTCATTGCCTATTTTATCTAAACCCACTTCTATCCTTCTCTTTCTATTATTTGTTTTCCATGTCATTGCTCCGTCTCCCCTCGGATTTATATTTTCTTTCCCTCAAATTTCATTGACGAAGAAGAGGGTCATCCACGTAACACCGCATCATTTTCGGTCACAAACACTACCATTCGTAATTAGCTTAAACTTTGAGATTTATGAAGGCGTTATCTTTTGTAAAGAAAGTTAACGCATATAATTATTATTTAAAGTTAGAAAGTAGTATTATACATGGCAAACACCCAAATAATATGTTTTGTTGGTTGCAAAATGATTCTGTTTATGTGGTTGGCTTTTATTACAATAGGAAACAAAATAACAGAACGTATTAAATGTAAGTGTTTATGTGGTTGGCTTTTATTACAATAGGAAACAAAATAACAGAACGTATTAAATGTAAGGGGAAAATGATAACATTATACAAATGACTCGTCTAAATTTTTTTTAAACAAACAATGCATTTGTTAACGCAGATGGTCGCTGATTGCGGGGCGTCTGCCGGGAAGAACCGCCAACGACGTGAAGAACTACTGGAACACCCACCAGAAGAAAAAGACGGCGACGGCACCGTTCCCATGCAAACCAGCCTATCTTAGCGACGGCCGGCAACCGGCTGCTGGTGCCAAAAACAAGAATAATAACAACATCTCACGACTCCAGATAACGAAAGCCAACATTATCAAGCCGCGACCTCGGACCTTCTCATCCAAAAGCCTCTCCTGGCCCATGAAGCCTATCCAGCCCAATAAGCCCGCTACATCAAATAAGCCCAACAATATTATTAATCTTCATCATAAGTTGCCGCCAAGTCAAGATGATCGCCGTCGTAATTGTCAGGAGAATCATGACGGCGGCGGAGGCGCCGAAATCACGTGGATGGACCAGCTAGAGAGATTCCTCGACGATGGCATTAATAATCTACCAGTGGCGGCGGACCACGAAGCTGATCGGTTTCCTCTCGGCCAATTAATGTCGTCCATATTGCCAGATCATCAAGAGAAGAGCGTTGATAATATGATGATGTTCGAGGAAGACAGCTACCAAAGTTTCTGGAGTGATCTGGACATTTGCCATCTTCTCAGTGATCGTCATGACATTTAATTTCCTCTCGGTGGATCCCTCGTAAAAAAAAATTAGCTTGGTCAAGTCGACTGGTTTCATTTCCACTTCTCTACAAAAAAATATGTTTATTTATGGGTTAATTGCAAGGATGGTCACTGGGTTTATTAAAACCGTTTATGTTTGGTCACTGCAAATATTTAATTATATTCATGGTCACTAAGATTAGTTCAATAGTTCAAGTTTGGTCACTCTCCGTTAGTCTCCGTTAGTTTTTGCTGATGTGGCAGTCAACTATTATAGTTGACCGTTAAATGAGTGACGTGGCCATTAAAAAATAATAAAATTTAAATATTTACAATTTCCACCTCATTTTACAACTATTAAAAAATAAAAATAAAACTTACCTCCGCCATCTAAGCTACTGTGGCCATGACGCGATCGTCTCCGCCGCCATCCCATTATGCAGAGCATAGCGGACATCCTCATTGCCTGTGCTTTGTCAAAAACATAGAAACATGAGGAATTTAGATTTCACTCACACTCTGTATTATGATTCTTATTCCATAGCTATGGAGTACTAAAACTCACCCATTTTCGGTCGATGAAGTCTGCAGTTCTGCCGCTGGTTACAGCTCCAAGCATGGCTCCAATTGTCAGTATCGAGCTGAACATGGAGTACTGAAGCAGGGGAGATGGAAACAGAGTGTTTCAGTGTCCGAGTATGATGAGCAAGAGAGAAGAAAACTGGAGGGGAAGGAAAGGTGCATTACCTCAGGCAAAGACAGGTTGAGATCTTCACTAATTGCAGACTGAACAGGTGCAGAGTAACCAACCTGTCAAAATAATAGCTTAAGCTAAACAAACCTTTCCTTTTACCTTCTTTCCCCACCCTTTTGCATATAATTCTTTCCTGAGGGGAATTTCATTTTCGTTCCTATCCCAGACGAAACACAGACACACAACCCACTTAGTAAAAACCATTGATTCAAAGAAAGAAAAAAACCCTGGCCCCCCTACTTCTCTGATTCCTAAAACTGCCTCTTTCTCACACACAGTAAAGATCCAAACTTTCTTTCCAACCATGTGAGCAAGTGAATCAGTTGGGAGGTGTAGACTTACACAAGAGCCAAACTCGAAAGAGCCACAAACCGCGACAGCAGTGCTGAGAAGCACCATTCCTATCGACCCATTGCTGTTGTATTCTTCATTTCCATCCGTTTCTTCCCCACTGCCACAGCTCACAACTTTGCCATTCATCAATGGCTCCTCCAAGTCCTCCACCAAGTACTTCCTCCGGCGGCGGAGACGATCGCGTCATGGCCACGGTGACGTAGATGGCGGAGGTAACTTTTATTTTTATTTTTTAATAGTTGTAAAATGAGGTGGAAATTGTAAATATTTAAATTTTATTAATTTTTTAATGGCCACGTCACTCATTTAACGGTCAACTATAATAGTTGACTGCCACATCAGCAAAAACTAACGGAGAGTGACCAAACTTGAACTATTGAACTAATCTTAGTGACCATGAATGAAATTAAATATTTATAGTGACCAAACATGAACGGTTTTAGTAAACCCAGTGACCATCGTTGCAATTAACCCGTTTATTTATACTGGACAAACAAATGATTTTCCCGTATGAACACGTGGATGCAAAATCTTTTATGATACAATTTATTAGAACTGGGGTGGTTATACGGTCCGGTTCGGTTAAATTGGCCCAAATTGATCCGGTTCAGTCCGGTTTTATTGAAAATATAAGGATCAAAGATTGGATTGGATACAGTCTGGTCTTGACCCGGTCCGATCCCAATTCGGTCTTGATTTTATATTGAGCTTGTGGGAATTTGAGTGGCCTAAGGCCTGAAAGGGTGAGGAGTTGGTTAAGTTTTGTACTTAGTGCAAAGGTTTGTGACCGTTTATGCCAATTACCCTTAAGTTTTAGGTGTTGAGCTCTCTTATCCGATCTTTATCCAATTTTCGATCCGGTCTCGAATGGTTTTTTACCTCAAATCTAAGCCCAAATATTGGATTGGATTGTTTACTATCCGATCCCGGTCCGATCACAGTCCGGGTTATACGGTCCGATTTCGGGTAAAAAAAAAAAACCCCGGATCAAATAGCCAGCCCTAACTAAAAAGAAGTAAAATGTTCTTTGTTCATGTCCCCCATAAAAGCTATGAAAAAACTTCAAACAATGCAAATATGAGTATGAGTAGTATATAACGAGTATGGAATGAAGCTCGAGTCTTATATGATAAGTATTAGTATGGGTAGTGACTAGTGACATATGATCTTGTTATAAACGCGCTGCTACAGATCGGGAAATCGCCGGAATCGACAAAGCAAGAATACGAAAGCGAGAATCGAAAACACGACACACGATTTACGTGGTTCACTAACACGATGTGTGTTAGCTACGTCCACGGGCGAGAGAGAGCCAATTTCACTATATCGAGGAGATTACAGATTACAGAGGAGTATGAGAAGTATTTATAGTACTTCTCCATGTGGGTCTAAACCTAATCCAATCTGTCAAAGGAAACGGTTACAGACCAGGCCCAGAACCCGAACCCAAATAACATTGAGCCCATACACCGTGGGCAGGGGGCATTGCCCCTGGACCCCACTCGCTGACCGGGCAGCGAGACCCCCGATTACCAGTCGTAGAGGCTGATAGTCCGATTCAAGTCATATCAACAAATCTCCACCTTGACTTGAATCCTCTTCCTCTGAAATCTCTGATGTACTCTGCTCCTTCTCTCTCTCCCGCCATCAATGCCCCGTAGGGCGGAGTCACCCACTCAAGACATTCAGCAAGTCCAAGCAGTGTTGGAACTTGCCATGTGGAACCGGCTTCGTGAACATATCAGCAGGATTATCCGCGGTGCCAACCTTCTTCACCTTAATCCTCTTCTCTGTCCTCAAGAAATGATACCTCACATCGATGTGCTTAGTCCTCTGATGGTGGACTTGATCCTTGGCCAAGCATATTGCACTCAAACTGTCGCAATACACCACTGCCTGATCATGATGTAGACCCAGATCACCAACCAATCCCTTCAACCATATTCCCTCCTTAGCAGCTTTTGTCAACGCCATATACTCTGCCTCAGTAGTAGATAATGTCACCGCCGACTGCAGAGTTGCCTTCCAGCTCACTACAGAACTCCCAGGAGTGAATACATAACCGGTCATCGATCTCCTCGTGTCAACATCTCCAGCATAGTCCGAGTCAGAATACCCAGACACCAAGCACTCTGTATCACTTCCGAAGCTAATCCCCACATCAGGTGTACCCTTAAGGTACCGGAAGATCCTCTTCACAGCCTGCCAATGCTCCTTCCCAGGTTGTATCATAAACCTGCTGACAACACTAACAACATGTGCAAGATCAGGTCTAGTGCATACCATAGCGTACATCAAGCTACCTACTGCACTAGCATATGGGACTCTCGACATGTACTCCTTCTCAGCCTCTGACTGCGGTGCATAAGCTGAGGATAGATGAACATTTGAAGCACTAGGAGTATTTAAGGGCTTTGGTGAAGACATGCCAAACCTCGACAGTATCTTATGGATGTAACTCTTCTGTGACAAGAAAAGCTTCTTCTTCGACCTGTCCCTGTAAATCTCCATACCCAAGATCTTCTTAGCAGCTCCCAAATCCTTCATCTCAAACTCAGCACTGAGAAGCCCCTTTAACTTCTGGATACCAGACTTTGACCTCGCAACTATGAGCATATCATCCACATACAGAACTAGATATATCATCGAACCATCCTCTGCCTTGCTGTGATATACACAACAATCATATGTACTTCTGTTGTAGCCCAGCTCAAGCATGTAACTGTCAAATCTCTTATAACACTGCCTCGGAGATTGCTTAAGTCCATACTAGGACTTCTTCAGCTTACAAACATAGTATTCTTTTCCCGGAACCTCGAATCCTTCTGGCTGGGTCATGTAAATTTCTTCTTCCAATTCTCCATGTAGGAAAGCTGTCTTCACGTCTAGCTGCTCGAGCTCCAAGTCCTAATGTGTCACTATTGCTAGTAGCACTCTGATCGAAGTATGTCTAACCACTGGTGAGAAAATCTCATTATAGTCAACTCCTTCCCTCTGCGAGAAGCCTCGTGCAACCACCCGAGCTTTAAATTTCATGCCCTCTTTAGAAGTGATTCCTTCATTCTTCTTGTAGATCCACTTGTTTGTAACAATCTTCCTTCCCTGTGGTCGTTTGACTAGCTCCCAAGTCTGATTCCTGTCATGAGATTCCATCTCATCTCCCATTGCGGCAAGCCACTGATCAGCTTCACCACCCGAAACTGCTTCTCTATAGGACTGTGGCTCTCCTGCATCCACTTCCTCAGCAACCTGAAATGAATACGCCACCATGTCCTCGAAGCCATACCTCTGTGGAGGTACTCCTGCAGTCGCTCTCTTCGGTCTATCGGAAGCAATAGACTGTTTAGCTCGTGCACTGGACTTTGAAGTTTCTGGCTCTGTAGAGACATCCTCATCATGTTGATCTTCTCCACCTTGGTGCTCAAACTCACTCTCATTGAGAGTTTGCAGCTCCACCTGCTTATCAACATTCCTGCTACCTTCAGCAACAGTAACCTTCAACATGGGGTTAAACATAGACTTCTCATCAAATATCACATTTCTACTAAGTATAACTCGATGCTCAGAAGGTGACCAGACTCGAAATCCCTTAACTCCATCTCCGTAACCCACAAATACACCCTTCTTTGCCCTTGGGTTCAGTTTACCCTCATCCACGTGATAATAAATAAGACACCCAAAAACTTTCAGTGAAGAGTAATCAGCAGGCTTACCATACCACACTTCATAAGGAGTCTTACACTCGATACCTGTGTGTGGTCCACGGTTGATCAGGAAGCACGCCATGTTTACTGCTTCTGCCCAGAATCTTCTCTCTAGTCCAGCATTAGAGAGCACGCACCGTGCTCTCTCCAACAATGTCTGGTTCATCCTTTCTGCAACGCCATTCTGCTGGGGTGTATCTCTAA